AAATGTCGGGGTTACTTTCGGGGTCGAGGTGTGGGTCGTTAGTGGCGTCAATTATGTCTCCTAACTTGGTGTCCAATACGGACTGAGGGATCATTGAAACGATGTCATTCATCATGTTCTAAAAGGGAAGGTAAAGTTGTCGAGAGATAAATCGCGTAGTGGGGAGTGTTTAACATCCGGCTTCTGCAACACTTGGTTCTGCAACACTTGGTTCGTTGGTTCGTTGGTTCTATGCCCAGGAGCGTGCCCTGTCCCCGTTCCATTTTGTTCAGTCCTGTTCCGTTCCGTTCCGTTCCCACTACCCCCAAGTGCGCGTGTGTGTGTACACGATGTGTGTGTGTACACCGTGTGTGTGCTACGAGCAATCTCAGTTCTTCGACCCAGAAGACGCGTTTGGTGAAGGCGAAGAAGAAGTTCTCCCGCAGCCATTTGTCGAGTTCGTTTGGGGCCATGGAAATTTTTGCTGAGAGAGCGGCGCACTTGGCGGGCCGACGTTCGGCGTTGCGTCGTCACAGGAAACGTTTCGGCTACGGCGACCTGGTGGCATATGGCGCCCGGAAGACGGCTTTGCCCTTCTTCGGTTCGGCTTACTATGCGGCGGTGTTAGCTGCCGAGAAAAATCGGGTTGTGGTTTACGGCGGAATGGATCTTTTAGACCACCCGGATCCGGTAGATGGATGTGATCCGATTGCTATAGGAACTAGAGACATGCCCAATGGAACTCTGCTCAATGGAACTCTGCTCAATGGAACTCTGCCCAACGGAGTTCTGCCCAATGGAGCTCTGCACGATGGAGATCTACCCGATAGAGCAGGACTGGGTGCTAGGGAGGGTGCTACTGCCAGGGGAGACTCGACACTCATTGACTCGGGGCGTAGAGACAGTCTGGTGGAGCGAGTCCAGGCGTTGCGACGGAACAGCATGCGTTCGGAGACCAGCAGACAGCAGCGAGACCAGAACTTGTGGCGAGATGAGGGGAGACGTCAAAGCCTTTACCCGCAGCTCTCACGAAGGGATAGCAACTGCTTCAGAAAAACTAGGGATTCATGCCGATTCGATTCTCGTTTCGATTCTCGTTTCGATTCTCGTTTCGATTCTCGTTTCGATTCTCGTTTCAATTCTCGTTTCGATTCTCGTTTCGATTCTCGTTTCGAATCCCGCCAGGGATCTGGTGTGGGATCTGGTCCCAGTCCTGGGTCAGGTAGTTCGGTTAAGGTGCGAGTGGGTGTGAGGTCATTGGGTGAAGAGAGTGACGCCAGTTCGGCCACGACCTTCCCCGCGCGGGGCCAGTTTCTAAGTAGTGGCGTTAACCAACGCAGTGGCTCTGTGGCCTCGTGCCAGAGTGGCGAGGAGAAGCGCGAGGTCATCGACCCCACGAAGGCAAGCGCTGGCGTTTATGAACTCGCGGTGGAGGTCGACACGGGCGTGGTCCGGACCCTCGGCCGGGCCACTGCGGCCCTGGGGCTCGTGGGGCACTCCATGGTGTGCTGGCGCGGCTCGGTCCTCTGCATTTACGGAGGCGTCCACCAAGACATTCGGGGACTGTTCAGTAAGCTGCGCTCGGGGGAGGGGGAGATGGTTGTCCTGTAGGTGAGGTGTACTTACTAGATGGCGACAGGTTGACCTGTTTGCGGCCGCCGAAAGGACCGCGGCCGCCTGGGCGTTTGCGACATAGCGCATGCGTTGTCTCTGATTACATGTTTGCCTATGGCGGTCAAAGCCACTACAGTGGGAGTGTGGTGTTAGAAGATCTGTGGTATCTGGACCTATCGCGAAACTGTTGGAGGCGGTTGCCATATTTCGTGAACGGAGCAAGCTTGCCAACAGAACTGCCGGACGTGAATGGAAACATGCGGGCCGTTAATGATCGTGAACGATTATGTCTTGAACGGGGTCCTGGTAAACGTTTTGGACACCATATGGCCTTCCATGACGGACGCCTCTACGTCGGGTTCGGCTCGGACGGCGTCGGACCACTGTTCGACGTTTGGTACTACGACCTGACTACCGTCCTCCAAGCCCGAAACCAGACTCTGGAATTACAGGACGTCCTGACCGCTGGGGCTTGTCCGGATTCGAAAGCGCGACCTGAAGGTTTGGGCTGGAACTATGTGACATTGTACAACGACCGGAGTGAGGTAGTACGTCTAAACGAGTCGCGAGTGGATTCTGCGGCTACGCAACTTCCGGAAACGACAAGGTGGCTGATCCATGGCGGCGGAGGGTGTTACGGACCGTTAACAAACTCTTGTTTGGAAATCGACCTGGTCAGTCACGAGTGCCGTTGTTTTAGAGTGCCTTTGGCGACAAGTGACGCCGACGCACTTGGGCGAAGTTCAGCCGGGCGAAGTTCAGCCGGGCGAAGTTCAGCCGGGCGAAGTTCAGCCGGGCGAAGTTCGATGTTCGATGAGGTTTCGGCAGAGGTTGAAAGCAGCGTTGCGGGGTGTGAGACGGAGGCTGCTCCACGTCGGATTCTTCAGGGACTTCGTGGCCATGCACTTGTGGCACTGTCAAAGGATATGGTGCTGGTTCTAGGTGGATTAACTTCGAAGGCCCGACCGAGCCAAGCGGCGTACGTTTTGCAGGCTAACCCCAGTGGCTGGCACATGCGCAAACGGACCCCGGCACGACTACCGACCAACTACCTCCAAAGCACCGCTTCCCTCTTCACCTACAACGCCGAAGAGACCGTGGACGAAAAAGCCCCAGGCGACAAGGCCTCAACCAACGGGCACAAGCAACCCGCGGGGGGAGCCGCGGGGAGAGAAAACGAAGCGCCGGAAAGAGGAGAGAAAGGCGGGGTTCGAGAAGGGGCTGAGCGTGGCCGGGAGGAAGCTCAGGGGGGAGAGGACTACGTTCGGGACAATGTTCAGGACAATGTCCACGACTACGTTCGGGACAATGTCCAGGACTACGTTCGGGACAATGTCCAGGACTACGTTCGGGACGATGTTCAGGACAATGTTCAGGATGAAGTCACGAGAAAGGAACAAGAGGCAAGAAAGCACGGGGCGGAGCTGGGCGTTGAACCCGCGTCTTTACGCTCCAAAGCTCCATACCGACAGTTTTTGCTCGGCAGCAGTGAAGAACCCACTTCCGACCGAGACGAAAGATCGTGGTATGAAGTCGACACTTCCATAGGCAGAGACCAACCATCGGTGGGCAGGAAATCAACTGACAGAGAATCAACCGGCAGAGGATCATCATCTACGGGCGGCAGAGGATCAGTCGCCGGCAGAGATCATCACCTGGACTTGAGTCGGCTCCGAATCCCAATCTTCCCCCAAAACAAATCGGTTTCGAAGTACGATCAAAAAACGGACGATGGTTCCAGCGACGATCATGAACTGGAGTTCTTGCGAAGTCGCTGCAAAGAGCTACAGGTGGAAAACAATCGACTTAGGCGCAGAATTTTTGATCTTGAAAAAAAATTGATAAACCACTGATAAAGTCAGTTAGCAATGTCAGTTAGCAATGTCAGTAGCAGTGTCAGTTAGCAATGTCAGTATCAAGTTGGCTCAAGTGTGAGTTGGCCAGTGGAGTAGCCGGTTGGTGATTTGTTTGGTGACAAAAAAGTTAGGTGTCGTTGGTTCAGTGTTGGTTGGTCTGGTTCAGTTGGTCTCATGCTAGTTCAGTTGGTCAGGCAGCTAGGGAGGTAGTTGGGCAGGTAGGATTATTTGATGCGGTGTGGTTAGTATACTCCAAGGCTGTAGGAGAGCAGGAACTCCTCAGACGAGAACTCCGGACTGGCTGCATTCATGACAGTTTCCTGGAAGTCGACGACTCGTGGAACTACACTGGGCACCACAAAGTTGCCGCATGCCAGCCGAATATAATGGGAAGCAGTGTGGCAGCCGGTATCGCTGTTGTACCGGGAGTACACACACAGACTGAAAGACGCGTGTAGCTATTGTGCGTGTAACTATTGTGCGTGTAACTATTGTTCGTGTAACTGTCGTTGTGTGAGAGTGTGTGGTATCGTACATGAAATCTTTTTGTTCGGAGGCGGCGAGTAGGGGTTGGTCGATGGGTAGTTCGAGTGATTCGTTGGCGAGGTCGAGCATTTGTGTATTTCTGTTATGGTGTAGTGAGAACTTTGCGGATTTGATCTTGACTGAGCCGCAGGAGAGTCGGAAGAAAAGTGGGTCGTGTACTTTTTCGAAGGGTCCAACAAGTGTCTTGAGATCAACTCTGATGAGTTTGCCTCCAGTAAAAGCTTGTAGCCATGACAAGGCTTTGAATGGCGGTACAGGAGTGGCGGGTTGGCTATGACTGAAGGTGACGGCAACGGTCATTCGTCCGCAAACGTCACCAGTTTGTGGGTCGTTGACTGGTAGGGATCCATGGAAACTTGTTTTGCTGAGAGTGAGTAGGGCTCCAAGGTTCATCTGGGTAGCTCCTAGGACCGTCTTTTGCTCATTAGCGGTGAGTAGTGTGAATTTCATAGTCTTGTTTCCGCGGTAATCGAAAACAAACTCGATATCGTTGTGCGGTCCAGCACGCCAATTATCAAGTCGACAACGGAAGGCTTTAACACTGCCAAGACAGGCACGTATAAAGAGTGAGTCAACGTTCTCCCACTGAGAGAAGCCTTCAAGTTTAATGACAGAAACTATCAGCTTATTGTAGATCGGTAAACCATCGGCATTAAATAGATGACGGTTACTTCGAAGTGCAAGCTTCTTAGTTCCGTCTGCACTCATCTCCCGTTTATGACATAACGCCAACTCACCACCGGGGGCGCTTTCCCGGGCACTGTCACGTAATGAACTGTCACGAACAGGGATGATATCGACCCCAGTCGCAGAAGGTATGACCATAGGTGCTGGGACTACGGCTTCGCTCAGCGCCACACGGAACTTCACGTATTCTGTATCGCTAAGTTGATACCGTCCTTGGCAGCAAACAACGCCAGACAGCACAAGTTGCTTCAAAGGGATTTCGAAAGAGTCAGAGGAATCCATACTAACACATTTAAGACGTCCATTGATGTCGAAGGGCGCCTTGAAGACCACTAGTCCACTCACTCGCGCGCTGTCCTTCTTTACGGACCAGCTATTACCAGCTGTAAGTGTTAGAGAACTAGGCGAAGAGTCAAGTGCAAGTGTAAATGCAACCGACCTAAAATTATTTGCCGGGACTGGGTCCATGACCTCAATCAACCGCAACATATCAACCAACGGGTTGATCGTAGGCCAAAACACCTCCACAGACGCAGCCGCTCCCGCCGGACCGGAGAAGGTGCGAACATGTTCCGTGCACGGTCCAACAGAATTGCGTTGTAGAGTCTTTTCGAATCCGCCTGCAGAACGCGAAGTCTGCGCTAGAAACGCCTCCGGCTCCGGCGGCCCTTCGAGCCTCGAACTACCCAACTGTCGGTCACTCGGTAGCGGCGAATCCTCCTCGATAACTAGCGCTTTAGTTGCTGGTGTTCCGATACTCACAACCGGTGCGTTTGCCTCACTCTCACGCGCACTTCCGACATAGCGATAACTTGGAGGCTTAGATGTCGACCACCCTCCGGACAATCGCGCAGGTGTGGTGGTGGCACTTCGAACATGTTGTAGCTGCAGTTGATGGTGCTGCATTTGCGCCTGCAATGTTTTGGGCATTAACTGATGCGGCATCAGAGAACCGGAAGATAGTAGCGCACCCGGCGCCAGGACGGAGGGAGAGTTTCCAGAAGCCGTCAACACCGAAGTGGAGTTCCCCGCACCAGGGCCACCCGTCAAGACCGAACTCGTGGCCATCACAGACCCGGAACCTCCAACCGGACCTAGGAGCGGACCAGTCGGACTGGACGGGTCGGTGACGGTAGAAGTCAGAACGGTGGTCGTCGGGGCCGGAGGGTAAATGCTTGTGCCCACGCTATTGCGGTATTGGTGCTGCGTACTCGTTCCGTAACTCGCGCCGTAAGAGTAGCCACCGACGGAGCCGTAACCGCCGCCGGGGCTGTTTGAGCGGGCAAAGGAGGCACCAAAACCCGTCGCCAAACCTCCGCCTTGGGTCAACGCGCCGTTCGGTGTCAGACGGCCGTAGCTTTGGGGCGCGATCGGCGTCGAGCCGCCCAAGCTCGAATACGAGTTCGCGTACGAGGCGTAACCCGAACCATGGTAAGCCGGCACGCTCTGGAACGTCGTGCCCTGCGTATATGCCGCTGTCTGCCGCGCACTCGTCGTCGGCGACGTCGAGGGATGCAGCGTCGGCGAGGAGGTCAAATAATTCTGCGCGCTCGACTCCACATATTCGCGCCCGCTGGCCATCTGACTGGTGTTCAGCTGACTACCAGTTAACTGAGCAGTGCCCAATTGCGCGTTGCCCATCTGATTGCCTTGACTGGTGTTCAGCTGACTGGTGATGGCTTGCACCTTCTGACCTTGGGCGCTAAATTGCGTGTACTGCTGAGAGCCATTGGTCGTACTGGACTGGGTGCGTCCAGAGTGTTGAATAGGGGAAGGAGGGGCGTAGTGGTGTACATTGAGCGAGGGTATCCGCTGTACGCTAGCCGTGCCACAAGCAACAGGAGCCAGGTCCAGAACAACCTCGAGCAACCCCGATGGGATCAACTCCAGCGTCTGAGGGCCAGGTACAATCTTCGTAATCGTACCCGACGCCACCTCCGTGCCGGACAACCCGTTCAGCAGCGCCACGTCTACCGACGAGCTCAGCGGCCCGCGAATCAAAAAGTCCAATTGCACAGAGCCATTGTTCACATTCGCCTCACCGTACGGAGTCCGGATCTCGGACTCCCCAATCTTCGCCACCACCGTAACCTGCAACGGACGTTTTCATTTCAGACCACAATCAGATCATAAACTGTGCTCGTGAGATTCACAAACTGTGTGCACTCGTAAGATCGCCAGTGGTGTGTAAGATCGCCAGTGGTGTTAGGGTACCTTGGGATCTATGAGGTTAGGCGGCAGGTTGGAAGCCGTGAGGAGCTTCAGGGCAACTGTGGTCATAGGGTCAAAAAAAATTTACGAGAAATATAAGCTTTCAAAGCGCCAGGGTGCGGCTTTGTCGAGGACGGGAGGGGTACGTCGAGTGGGTACGTAGAGGGTGTGTTCGGCATGTACGACTGCGCAGATTGGTCGGTCATGTTCGGGAGGAGGGTTACGTTCCGTGGCATGTTCGAAACATTCGCAGGACTTGCAATGGCGAAGCGGCGCCTGGAGTTGAGGGCAGGTACAGCTGCAGCAATGCGTACCGGCACCTTGCGGCCATGGGAGTGCCTTTATGCGTCTGGCGTAAGCCTTCATGCGCAGAGAGGAGCCGCGTGTCTCTACGCTCTTTGTGCGCCGTGTTGCATCAGCTAGCATGACCTGACAGCCACGGTCGAGCTTGAACTCGAAGGCTTCCGCCTTCGCTCGAGCTATGGGCTCCGACCACTCCTTTGGGTCGAACTCCACTCGCTTCACTCCCATTATCGGCCCCGATCCCGACGTGGACCCTGAACCGGACTGAGCGGCATCACCGTTGGACACGACGGTGGTGCCCAAGGGCGTATTGATTCCGGCAGCTGCGCCGAGTAGTGATGGTTCCTCTTCGTCTTCGTCCATATCTAGTTCAAAGGTCGCCGCCCACTTATCGTTAGCCTGTTGCTGAACCTTCTTGACACCCCAGCCACGGTAGTTGATGAGCAAGCGACCACCCACGCCTTTACGAATAGTTACTCGTCGAGTACCCAACGGTGCAGCTGGAGGCTCACTCTCCGGTAACCGGGGAGTGGAAACCGCAGTCGACGCAGCCGAAGTCGGCTGTGTCAACCGACCACCAGGCGGCGGTGGCGGTGGTGGTGGTGGTAAGGATTTCCGTATTACTCCCGCCTTTATTAGGTGTTCATAAATATGCTTCACCAATGCCGCGAACTCCGGACCCGCCTCTCGAAAGTCATTTCGGAAGTAGATCGCGGCGCATTGACGAACATCCCCCACGCGAATGGTTTCTGATGCAGGTCCAATTAACGGCGTCAGCAATGGCACGTCTAACAGTGACATGTCCGCATGTAACTCCGGCTACGGCACGAATATCGACATGTGGGGTGTGCGACATGTGGGGTGTGCGACATATGGGGTGTGCGACATATGGGGTGTGCGACATATGGGGTGTGCGACATATGGGGTGTGCGACATATGGGGTGTGCGACATATGGGGTGTGCGACATGTGGGGTGTGCGCTACCCCCGATGCAGGGTGTTCCGTTCGCGATGTGTTCGAAGCAGAGTTTGCAGCAGGTTGCCTACTGCAGATTTACCAGTCTTGAGCAACATATAGGAAACAAGGAATGCCTCAAGCGTGTCCTGTGGGGGAGTGTTAGTCTGCTTCTGTCGTATTGCATGGTACATGTGGGGTTGTTCTCTTAGCGGTCTTTGGTAGGTTTCCTGATAGTTACGATCCTGATGGTTGTCCTGATTCCGATGGTTGTCCTGTGTACGATAGTTGTCCTGATTACGATGGTTGTCCTGATTACGATGGTTGTCCTGATTACGATGGTTGTCCTGTGTACGGCATGTTTTGGGTTTCTTGGGAATATGGAAAGGGGCCGGGTTCATGAGAAAATGTGTGCTATAAAATTTGAGAATGTCAGCTGCTGCCTCGGGTGCCGTGGAAGTAGACGTCGACGCGATTATCTCCAAGCTGCTGGAGGTCCGTGGCTCCAGACCGGGCAAAAGTGTGCAGTTAACCGAAGCAGAAGTTCGGGGACTGTGTCAGAAATCTCGGGAGATATTCATAGCCCAACCAATACTTCTAGAACTAGAAGCTCCTATCAAAATATGCGGAGATATACACGGCCAGTATTACGATCTTCTCCGTCTATTCGAATACGGGGGATTCCCCCCCGATGCCAACTATCTCTTCTTAGGTAAGTCCCCATCTCTCTTACCCCAATACATGCTCTCTTACCCAATACATGCTCTGTTACCCGGTTCATATTTCTTCCGGATATTTTCTTCACAATATCCCCCCCCCCCTCCCTTCCTTATGCTCCCTTCCTTATGCTCCCCTTCCTTCCTTCCTTCCTTCATTCCTTATGCTCCCCTTCCTTCCTTCCTTCATTCCTTATGCTCAATCCCTACCTTCCTTCCTTCCTTCCTTCCTTATGCTCAATCCTTATGTAGGTGATTATGTGGATAGAGGAAAGCAATCATTAGAGACAATATGTCTGTTGCTGGCTTATAAGATTAAGTATCCTGAGAATTTCTTCTTGTTAAGAGGCAATCATGAGTGTGCGTCTATTAACCGTATTTACGGTTTCTATGACGAATGCAAGAAACGATATAATGTCAAAGTCTGGAGAACGTTCACAGACTGTTTCAATTGCTTACCTGTGGCTGCTATTATTGATGAGAAGATATTCTGTATGCATGGTGGCTTAAGTCCTGAACTACAATCAATGGATCAAGTACGCAAGATCGTTAGGCCAACAGATGTACCGGATAGTGGTCTGTTATGTGATTTGCTATGGTCTGATCCTGAGAAGGAGATGGCTGGCTGGGGTGAAAATGATCGTGGCGTTAGCTACACATTTGGTCAAGACGTGGTCCATACTTTCCTAAAGAGACATGACCTGGACTTGATTTGTAGGGCACATCAGGTTGTTGAAGATGGCTATGAGTTCTTCGCAAAAAGACAACTTGTCACACTCTTCTCGGCCCCCAATTACTGTGGAGAATTCGACAATGCCGGCGCAATGATGAGCGTCGACGAAACACTCATGTGCTCTTTTCAGATACTCAAACCAGTTGAGAAGAAACGCTATAAATGAGAGTGTACTCACCACAAGAACAGCAACATGGGTGTTAACTAACCACCCCTGAGCCGGGGTGGCACCGACGGAAAGAACACGCGGTGTGTGATAAAGTTGTTGCACACACGTGTCCATACATCATCCGTGTGTGTGCCTGCACACGGGTGTACATGGGTTGCAGCGAAAATGGATGCAGCTGGCCAGGAGTCATGATGCGCGCGCCGCTAAGGGACGAAGGCGCGCAAACGCAAATTGCTGAGGGGTTTGAAAAAACGCATAGTGACAGACAGTGTGATGCATTTTTTTATTTGAAGCAAAACCCTGGCCACGTCACCACTGGCCACGTCGCGGCTTCATGCCCAGCCGTGAGACCTGCACCCACCGCTGCTCTGCGTCCTGAACTCCTTGCGTGACCGAAGTTGTGACATCTTGCGCTCTTAGCGCCAATCGAACGAAATCTTCCATAACGGCCTCCGTACCCACTTGTCCCTTATCCCATTCCTCCAGCATTTGCAGACCCAACAACATCATGACTGCGTCCAAATCGCAATCCGAAAAAGAAAGGCTGGCTAGTGCTCGTTTCCCAACCATCTTCCCGACCATCTTCCCAACCGGCTTCGCCTCATCAACCACCTTCATAGCTGGGTCCGCCACCGCTGGGTCGTCCACCTTGCCCTCCACCATCGAGGCATCGACCATTTCTCCCTCCACCGCTCGGGGAACAATCTCCACACCACAAGCTTTGCTGCCATAAACCACGTACGATGCAAACGGCTTGAACCGACCCGTATCCGCCCGCGCTATGGCTACATCCAACTCCTCCAGGGTACTGTAACTCGGCAATGACTTTTCTTCCTTCTCATCCTCCAGGGGCGCATTCATCCGCCGACCAAACACACTCCTTGGTAGCGACCTCCGTAACTTATCCCCCTTCCTCAAAAAGTGATCAAATCTCCGCTCCATTTTTTCCAACACCACGTCCTCTGGATCCAACACCACGTCCTCTGGATCCAACTTTTCACCTTTAGGATCATCTTTAGGATCACTCTTAGGATCACCCTTAGGATCACCCTTAGGATCACCTTTGAGACGATTACCTTTAAGGTGTCCACCTCCGGGTTGGCCATTCTTGGGTTGATTACCCTTTGGTTGATCATTCCGTCGACCATGAGCATCCTTCGGCCGATGCGTCTTCAAGGTGTTGCCATCAGAGTCCTTCTTAGCTTTGCCATGCCTCCTATCATTAGAATGCTTCTTAGCGTTAGAATGCTTCCTATTGCCAGCAGGCTTCAGTCCAGTTGGGTCATGCGCCAACGGTGCATCTCCAAAGTCCACGGTCACCGACGGTGGGCGTTCTCGTGTCTTGCTCGCGTCACCTTTTGTCTCCCCCGGCTCCGCCGTACTGGGAGCGGGTTCAGTTTGCAGCGGCCCATGCCTGTCTGGCTCATTTCTATCGGGTTCATTTTTATGTGATTGAATCGGAACGGGCAGTTCACTCTTGGCTAATTCAATATGAACTGTCTGCGGCGGTCCATCTTTAACTGTCTCAGGTTTAGACTCTTCTAGGGATGCGGATATTTCGATCTTGACCTGGGGATCCATGCATGAATCCTTCTCTAATTTTTCTCCTTTAACCGCAGGAGGACATTCAGGTACTTCATTCTTTTCTGCAATTGCCAGCTCCGAACAGGACGGTACAACAGCGGTAGAAATGATTGGTGCTAGGTCCGGGTGAGGAGGCTGGTTGGACGTTTGCCCGTCCGGTGCCGTTTCGGTTTTCACCGCCGTTTCGGTTTTCACCACCGGTTCGGTTTTCACCACCGGTTCGGTGTTTGTCAGCTTAGGCGTGGGTTCGATTCCCGGCGATGTCATTCCTGGCGATGTCTGAAAAACCCGTGGGACTCGCCCGACGGGTTTCGCCAGGACTAATTGCGTGGGCAAAAAGTCCATCAAGTCCAACGAACCACGCAATGCCAAAACTGTGACCACGTCATCTCGAAAGAGGACTCGGCCCACGGCCCATGAAAAGGCTATTTTGGCATCAATCCAACTCTCACTCTCGATCAAGAGTTGAGTCACCATAACCTTACACTCTAGTAGCAGTATGTAATACTCAGCCAATAAAGAGCTTCGGCCTCCAGAGAATTTCCAACGAACCTCACCACACTCAGATAACCGATTGTCTCTCCCTCTTCCCGATGTTCGTTCGCATCCTCGATCAGGTGCTCGATCCAACGTGGTGCTTGACTTCGATACCGGCTGGTCTTCTCTTGCTATAACAAGCTGGTCTTCACCAGTAGTCCGGTTATATTCTCGAGAATCAGTTGGCTTAACTTCCCAAGGACTTGGTACCAAGTCCCTTAATGTACTGTCCTTGCCTCGTGGGCGGTTTAATGGGCGATGTCTGGGGTTGATATTGTAGCGGCTGCATACTTCTTCCGGAAGAACAACATTCGGATAGCGTCTGTCTACTAGACGGCAAATCTGACGTTTGATCAGGTTATGGATTCGTTCGGACAGCTTCGGGTCCTCCTCCTGGACTTCTGTGTTAGGTACATCGTCCTCAATTCTCTTTTCGGCATTTCCTGGCTTCTTCTCGCTCTCCGAGTCACTCGAACTTTCCTCACTGCTGTCTCGTTCCCCGCTGGTTTCGTTGTCGCTGTCATCACTACTGGAAACCTGCTGAACCAACCGGGTACGAACCCGTCGACCTCCATCTGGCCGCCGGGCTTCTCCTGCACCAACCTCTTGATCCGACTCCTCCTCCTCCTCCTGTTGATCGCGTTGGATTCCAAACATTAGGGCACCTTCAATGTACTCATACAGCAGCCTTTGTATATCCCAAAAAACTACCCACCAGAACTTGGCAATGCCCCATGGCAACGTCGACCGACGATATGTACATCTCAAATTCGTTATAAAGAGTGTTTCTTGCTGACAAATGTCACAGATCACCTCATTTGCGCGCGCAATTTTCGTGTGCATACCGCTATCGAACACCAAAACACAGATTAAATAAAGATTCTTAAGAGGTTTCTGAGGGGCAAAAAGGTAGTGGAGGTTTACAGTTCGTCAGACTGGGAGCCAGAAGCACTGGTAGAGTCGTCCTCAGAGACGACGACGGGTTTGGAAGCATTTTTCTTGGTGAATGCGATAAGTCCTTCGACAGTACGTTCGCCATCATAAATGATGGGTTCTTTGGATCCGGCCTTGACGTAGAAGAGAGTGGGGAAGCCCTTGTACTCGAAGCCGGAGACGTCAGGTTCGTTTGCTGTGCCATCGAATTTGGCGACCATGACATGTTTGTTGGCCTTGATTTTATTGGCGAATTCCTCATAGGCGGGTGCGAGTTTCTTGCAATGTCCGCACCAGGGGGCATAGATCTCAAGGAAGACGTCGGTATCTTTCTGGAGGACGATTTCCGAGAATTGTTGGCCGACAACGACCTTGACGGGTCCATCGTTGGTCTCGGGAATGGGCTCGGATTTGAGGAAGCGCTTGACCTTGCCACTCTTGACCTTCTCGATGAATTTGGAAATCTCTTTCTGATTGAGATTGGCGGGATCGGGATGATGGAACTTGGCTTCCTCATAAATAATGGCGAGGCCTGGGATCTCGGTGAGACCAAGCATGTGTTCGGCATGTTGCTTGTGTACGTCCGTGTCGAGCCAGACGAAGTTGAAGCTGGAGCGGTAGTCCTTGCTCACTTTGCGCACTTCGGGTGCAACTTTGTTGAAGTCATCCTTGTTGCCGGCGAACCAAACCCAGGACTTGGAACGAGCGGCATACTCACCATAATTCTCACCGTTAACCACACCAAAGAGTGGTACGGACTCCTCACCAATGAAGGCGTTGAGTAAGCCCTTGGTGGTCACCGTGGTGCTAACGGGGTCCTCAGCGGGTCGCAGCACAGTGACTTTGTTCGTCTTGTTTTCATCCTGAGAGACAAACGCCGCAAAGGAACCCTTCATGCGATGCGTCTTAGCTGCCTCCTCGAACAACTTAGCCTCCTCGCTCTCCTTGCTCTTGAACGCGCCGACGAAACGGATTCCCGCATCAGTCTCACTCGAGATACCAGTTTCCTCACCCTCGACCCAAGTCAGAGCAGGACCAGTCATCTTCTTCACCCAGTCCACGATGGTAGATGCCGTCCGGCCACCGTTGTATGGTTCATTCTTACCATCTCTGAACAAGAACATCGTAGGGAAACCCTGCACGTTGTACTTCTGAGCCAACTCTTGATCAACCGTCGCATCCACTTCAGCCAAAGGAATGTTCACCTTCTTTAACTCAGTTGCAGCCTGCTCATACTCAGGCGCCAACCTCTTACAATGACCACACCAAGGCGCCATGAACTTCACCAACGCCACAGGATTCTTTGTAATGAAATCGTCAAAGGTACTCCCTGACAACACCGTCACATCTCCTCCCAAAGCGGCCATGACAAACACTGCGCTCCACAAGACAAATCGGTACAACATGCTAGAGAATGTCTGGACAATTTTATTCACAATTATTTCAATGAAGCTTCATCGCACACACTCCCCGGCCCTTTTTATTTTACCCCCCACCTGGGCTCTGCACCAACCCCTCAAACTCTGCCCCGAACTCTGTCCCCCCCCCCCCCCCCCCCC